AAAGTTACTTCGCGTGGAAAATTCAACGTTTCTGAACAGGGAAAGGTGTAGAATAGTACTTCATATCATACATGATAGCATACGTTACAACTGTGATTGTTAATAACTGTTTAACGAAGGACGAGTGACAGCTAAAACCTGTTGAGGGTTACTCAGGGTCATGACTTTGACAACATATGTCAAGGTCAAAGTCATTGGAGGGAGGTCCCTGATTGAGACATTTACTATTTTAAAACTATAATTATTAATAACTTTTTAACGAAGGGCGAGCGACGGCTAGTTGTTAAGGCAAAGTTACTCAGAATCATGACCTTGATAACATATGTCAAGGTCAAAGTCATTGGAGAGGGGTCCCCTAATCGAAACATTTACCGATGAATGTATTTTATTACTTCTATAAAATTTGATAATATACGTTTAATGAATTTATTGAATCTATGAACACGTTTATTAGAAGAATAAACTTTTTCATTAATTTAATTAAATATTATTTTAAGTTATAATATACTCAAGTAAATATATTTAAAAGTTGGCGCAGTAGCCAATCATTCTTTCGCTTTTATTTTATTTCGCTGCGCGCTGCAGTGCGCGTCAAACGTGTTGCGTCTTCAATAGTTTGATGGAGTTGTTGATGAGGTAGACTGAGGTAGACGAGCGAGATACATTGTTTGTGCCTATAGAAGATCCTTTTCTGGGTAACTGTTTGCTGAACTGTTTGGAGATTCCTTGAGTTATTATAACACCTTTGTGTTTAGCCTTTGTGTTTACCATTTTGACTGTTACTTGAATCACCTCGAATTTATATCGCAAAAGAGTGCTTGTGTTCGACAATATATTCTCTACGAATGAAACTTTCTTGATTTACTTGATTGTGAAAAAATTTTGCCTAATTAATAATCAGCTATGAAATCTTTACGAAATTTGGCATGTGATTGAGAGTTTTTTGCATTTACGACAAGTCACATACGCATTATATCCTATAAGAAATAGTTGTTTTTTGCTGCACATTACTAGTGTTTCCTGGTGTGACATTCAACTTCAATGGAATTATTATTAATTATTATATGGTAAGTAACACATACATCCACGATAACTATACTGTATTTACGTGTTGTTGTTTAATTAATTAAAAATGTACGATATTTACAGGTTAATACAGGTTATGAAGTTTGATTACAAATCACATACGCGTTATAACTTGTAAAACGCAATTTTCTTTGCTGTATATTATCAGTTTTTCTGCTGCGATATTCAACTTTAACAGAATTATTATTATTATTATATAGTAAGTAACATTCACGGATAATTATATATTTGTGTGTAGCTGTTTAATTAATTAAAACTGAACGGTGTTAATACAGATTATGAGTTTACGAAAGTTTTTGTAATGAATTGAGCTGTTCATGTCGAAGTTTCTCTAATAATAAGTCAACGTTGTTTTATTATATCTAACTGCAAGTTGAAGAGATATAATATATTTTATTGACGATAATTTAAAATATAATATGTTCTTATGTTTAATATAATATGTTCTATGTTTAAAATATAAAAATGTTATGCTATTTTTGTAAAAAAGACTTTAAATCTATACGCTTTTTGATTTTGCATTTTAAACGTACTCATTCGAAAAATGCAATATTTAGATGTTGTGAACCGAATTGTCATCAAATTTTTAAAAATTTAAGTAGTTTTAAAAAGCACATGACGCGTAAACATGTAAACGATGAAGATGATAATGATAGTAATAAATTTGAAATTCAGGATTGTAACTTCAATGACGTACAAAATAATATGGGACTTGATATAAATACTGATCTCTCTATTACATCTTCAGTTTCTAATTATCCTAATGATACGTCATACAATAATATTAATGAAACATCAGAAATTAATGAAATAAGTAATAGTTCAATTCTTGAGAATAATATAATTTCTGAATTTCAAATTTCTAATTATCCTAATTGTACGTCATACAATAATATTAATAAAACATCAGGAATTAATGAAGTAAGTAATAGTATAATTTCTGAATTTCAAATGGAAGAGTCGCTTAAAAAAATGACTGATTTTGTTTCGAAATTTGTACTTACTCTTCAAAATAATAATAATTTTTCTAGGAAAGATGTTTTTAAAATACAGGAATACGCGAACAAATGTTTAATCGATCCGTTATTGGATATTATAAAATCATTTGCTGATAATAAATTTCAACAAGATAGTTCTGTGCATAATGAATTTTGTAGTCTAATATCAAATTGTAGAAATCCCTTTAAATTTTTTAATACTGAATATCCCTTGTACAAATGGTTAAAAAATAAGAATTATATTGAAGATATACAAGAATTTACAATTAATAACACAATTAGTGCAATTCATCGGAACGGTAGTTTTACATATGATGAAAAACGAATAAAGGGTGCCCTTATGCCCTTGAGATTTCAATTTAAAAAAACATTTGAAAAAGAAGGAATTTTAAAGCGTACGTTAGATAATATTGACTTTTTACAAAAGTATCCAATATTCAAAAATTTTGTACAAGGCGAATTGTGGAAACAAAAAACTGAACTATATCCTAATAAAACAGTGATGCCATATTTCTTGTATTTAGATGATCTTGAAATTAATAATCCTCTTGGATCTCACTCTAAGGTTCATTCAATTTGTAATGTTTACTATTCTTTTCCGTGTTTTCCAGTGGAAGAATCTAAATTAGAAAATGTATTTTTTGCTGCGGTTATAAAATCTTCAGATATAAAAGATTATGGAAATGAAATGTTTTCAGTCACTTATAAATGAATTAAAATATCTAGAAATAAATGGTATAGTCATTAAAATTGATGAAAATTCAACTTTACGCGTTCATTTTATTTTGGGTTCAGTGCTTGGGGATAACTTAGGACTAAATTCATTTCTAGGTTTTAATAAATCGTTTTCAAGCAACTCCTTCTGTCGATTTTGTAAAGCAGAAAAAATAGTTTGTCAAAATTTAACCGTTGAAAATAAGGAAATGATGCGAACACTTACAAATTACAATGACGATTTAAAAGTAAATAATTCACAACGCACTGGAATTAAAAATAATTCTTTACTAAATGATATTCCATCATTTCATGTGACTGAAAACTATTATGTGGACATCATGCATGATATCTTTGAAGGAGTTTGCTACTACAATTTATGTCATGCAATTACTTATTTCACAATAAAAATGAAATATTTTGATCTAAAAATTTTGAATTCAAGAAAACAAAATTTTGAATATGGACCAAAAGAAATAGAAAATATTTCAGGTGAAATCACATCATCACATTTAGAAAAAAAGCATTTAAAAATGTCAGCTACAGAGATGATGACATTCATTATGTATTTCCCTCTTATGGTTGGAGACTTAGTTCCATCTGATGATGAAGTCTGGAATTTTGTAATTAATTTTATTGAAATTATTGATATTTTACTTTGCTTTGAATTTGACGAAGTAAATATTCGTTTATTAGAAAACAAAATTAAAAAACATAATAGTGATTATATTCAATTATTTAATGATACGCTGAAGCCCAAGTTTCATAATTTAAATCATTATTCAACAATTATTCGCCAATCTCGACCTTTAAGGAAATTGTGGTGCTTTAAATATGAGGCAAAGCATCGACAATTTAAAATATACTCTCATTGTATTACTTCTCGAAAAAACATTTGTCTTACATTAAGTAGAAAATATCAATTACAATTTGCATATCAGATAATGAATATTGAAAATTTTGCAAGTAAAACTTTTCAATTTAATGATAAAGACGAAATATCGAGTAATTATCTTTCTATTATTACTAAAAAATTAAGAATTAATAATGAAAATGATATCAAATTGTACTCTCGCATTAAATATAAAGGTGTTGAGTACAATAAAAAAAACTATGTAGTAACTTTTAAAAGTGATGTGATAATATATTTGATATTAGATATTATTTTATTTCGAAACAGTGAAGCCTTATTTTTTTGTCAAAAATTGCAAAAGTTGCAATACAGGCAACATTTTTTAGCATATGAAATTGATGAAACGAATTTAGGACAATTTTTTATAGTATCTTTGAATGATATAATTGGACCTACACTTACTTTAATAAAAACTGCTAAAGGCAAATCAATGATACGAATAAAAAAATATTATAAATGTGTTGCTTAAATTATTACGTCTATTTCTACAGGGTGTCATTAATCGAGCGAATCACCTATCATGAGCAGGTAGAGTAGACCGAACTGAGTCGAAAAGTCCTGTACCATTTTAAGATTGCAGCAATAGTTAACGAGATATTAATTTTTAAAGATTGGCGAATACGCGCGTCCGTTCGGCCTACCACACATTGAATGTACGCCTACAGAACGCCGCGATGGGCGCGCGGTCCGCGGAAAGCTGCGGGACGGCCTGGCAAGCGCGCCGTTCAAGTCATGACGTTTGGGGGCTAGCGGTGGTGTGCGCGGCGCGGGCGGCGGAGCGCTTGTCAACCAATCCCCACTCTTCGCGCGACTAGCCATCGCGATAGTGAATATTCGGCGCTCCAGAAATTAATATTTTGACTGCAAAAATTGGGAAATGATCGAAATCTTTTTGAGAACTCATTTAGTTCGCTCTAAAGCGTGTATACATGCCCGTGTACATACGGAAAAATATTATAAACATGAATTGTTTTAAATAAATAATAAGTTACTACAATTTATGTCATGCAATTACTTATTTCACAATAAAAATGAAATATTTTGATCTAAAAATTTTGAATTCAAGAAAACAAAATTTTGAATATGGACCAAAAGAAATAGAAAATATTTCAGGTGAAATCACATCATCACATTTAGAAAAAAAGCATTTAAAAATGTCAGCTACAGAGATGATGACATTCATTATGTATTTTCCTCTTATGGTTGGAGACTTACAATTAGTTCCATCTGATGATGATGAAGTCTGGAATTTTGTAATTAATTTTATTGAAATTATTGATATTTTACTTTGCTTTGAATTTGACGAAGTAAATATTCGTTTATTAGAAAACAAAATTAAAAAACATAATAGTGATTATATTCAATTATTTAATGATACGCTGAAGCCCAAGTTTCATAATTTAAATCATTATTCAACAATTATTCGCCAATCTCGACCTTTAAGGAAATTGTGGTGCTTTAAATATGAGGCAAAGCATCGACAATTTAAAATATACTCTCATTGTATTACTTCTCGAAAAAACATTTGTCTTACATTACGTAGAAAATATCAATTACAATTTGCATAACAGATAATGAATATTGAAAAAATTTTGCAAGTAAAACTTTTCAATTTAATGATAAAGACGAAATATCGAGTAATTATCTTTCTATTATTACTAAAAAATTAAGAATTAATAATGAAAATGATATCAAATTGTACTCTCGCATTAAATATAAAGGTGTTGAGTACAATAAAAAAAACTATATAGTAACTTTTAAGTGATGTGATAATATATTTGATATTAGATATTATTTTATTTCGAAACAGTGAAGTCTTATTTTTTTGTCAAAAATTGCAAAAGTTCCAATACAGGCAACATTTTTTAGCATATGAAATTGATGAAACGAAAATTTAGAACAATTTTTTATAGTATCTTTGAATGATATAATTGGACCTCCACTTACTTTAATAAAAACTACTAAAGGCAAATCAATGATACGAATAAAAAAATATTATAAATGTGTTGCTTAAATTATTACGTCTACTTCTATATATAAGGACAGTTGTAAATTTAGTA